GACGAGAAAGTGAGACTGGTGAATGGCTGGCCAGATGCAGCACGACCATCTTGTGAGCAACTTTTACACAAGGAGGAGGCCTGGCAGAACAGATTCACACAGGCAATGTAAAAAGATGCACTTTCTTCTTTTACCCCATACTCCTCTAGTGACCTTAAGTGTGGACAGTCCCACACTCATCCATCCCCATCCCCGGTGTGGATCCTGCTCCCCAGGAATATGAAGCCACGTAGTTGCAAGTCACACCAATGTGAGGCAGGGGCTAGCTATACCCTTTTGGTGCATTGCTTTGGTACCTGGATTCAAGAGGGCTTGGCTCCACACCTACAGAACCTGCAAAGCCACCAGACCAGTATTTAACTGGTTACTCTACCTTCATCTACACTGTGGTCCAAACAGACACTGAAACCAACTCCATCAGGACCTCCATGAACTACTTCCGGACTGAGTGCCTTGAACATAGATAACACTGAGTATGTTAGGACTCCATCTAGGGTCAGGAACACTACTGTCCCATCCTTCCCACAACCACCACCTCTTGAGATCCCTGACTAAAGAAATCTCCCAGAGTTTTCTCCCCTCTGGGTCCAACACTGCACTGTTGTTTTTTTAATTTAATCTTTCTCCTCCTCCTTCTTTCTATTCCTTGAGTTTTAACCTATCTTTGCTTTTGTTTTTGCTTCTTTTCTTCTGTTTCTCATTTCTCCTCTTTTTTTCCCTTTTGATCTTTCTTTACTATTTACTACTCTCCATTCTCTTTTCATCTTCACTCTCTCTAGCTTTTCTGTGTTTTATTATTATTTTTTATTTTCTCTCTTATTATTCTCTTATATAGCTCCATTTCCCTGTCCCTCTTTTGTCTTTACAGCTATATATTTTTTTCTGGTTGCTGCCTGTATTTATTTCTTATTTCTCTTTTCATTGGTGGTTCTTTATTGGTTTATTCTATATTATTTTCTTATGCATGTGTAGAGATGAGGGATTTTCTCTTTCCCACCTGACAGCAGACATTGCCTATATAGTCCAGCCAGAACCATACCTTCTGAAGCAACAACCACTGGGCAGGAGCCAATACTAACTCTTCTACTACCCGATCAAATCTAGACAGCACCCAACACCAGTCAAACCAACCCTAAACTGAGGTGCACGAATGGTGAATAAGAACAGTGACCACACTTCCATTTGCTAACTACACCCACAGGAGACATTTGGTGAGAGCCTAACAATACATCAACATACAATCATCATTTAAATATAAATCTGACAACCCTGCAGTGCCCTGGAAAAAACAGCCAATTTTAACTCACACAAGAAACAAGAGAGAATGGCTCAAAACGAATGACCAAGATGCAGAGCCAGAGAACATTTCTGAGGAAGAAAAGGTAATGGAACTAATTGAAAATGAACTCCAAAGAATGATATTCAGGTACTTCCAAAAGACTGACAGAAACATCGAGAAAAGCAAGGAAATCACAGAAAAAACTTTAGAAGAATTCAGGAAAACACTCAAAGAACAGACAAAATAAATGCAAATTTTAAAACAATACAAAATCTGCAATTAGAAATCCAGAAGATTAACACTAAAATTTCAGAAATGGAAAAAACACTGAAAGAGCAAAGGTGTAGATCTGAAGCAATGGAAACCCAAATTAGTCAGCTTGAAGACAATCTCTCAATACTAGTATGCTAGAAGAACCATCAGTAAAAGACTGAAAAGCATCCGAAGAAAGCTTAAAAGAAACAACTTACAGATGATCTTCCAGAACAGAAAGACACTATAAATTGTACAGTGAAAACTGTCGAAGAGTTATTGGAAGAAAACTCTCTAACATCATGAAAGACAAGAAGATAAGTATACAAGAAGCTGAACGAACTACAAACAGGATAGATGCCAAAATAAAACCACCAAGACATCTCCTAATCAAACTTTCCACAATCAAAGACAAGGAAAGAATCCTGAGAGCAGATCAGGAAAAAGTAAGTTACCTACACAGGAGAACCCAAAAGAGTAAGCTCGGATTCCTCATCAGAAACAATGCAAGAAAGAAGGCAATGGGATGACATATACAAACTCTGACAGGAAAAAGCAGCCAACCAAGAATCATATACTCACCTATTGATAATTACAATGAATATAAACTGATTGAATGCACCAATCAAGAGACAGAGCAGAATGGACAAGAGAACAGGATGCTTCAATATGCTGTCTATATGGGACACATTAAAAAGATGGAAACAGCCTAAATGCTCATCAACAGAAAAATGGTTAAATAAATGCTGGTACATACACACAACAGAATACTAAGAAATGTTGAAGAATCAGTGAAACACCTCACAAACGGATAAAGCTGGAGGACATACTGAGTGGAATTAAAAAAAAAAAAAAAAGGTTTTCTTGATAAAAGACACAATCTATGGTGGTTATGGGGGTAGTATGAGAAGCAAAAATTATTCATGGGCTAGAGGGTAGACACATGTTAACATGGGGGACAGGGCAAACATTATACATGGAGGTTAGCAGAGGAAAGATGAAGGCAGCAGGAGACACAGGGAGGAATGCAACAGTTAAAGTGAATAGAGGGAAATATTTGGTTGGTATATGAAAGGGATTGTAATTACGTAATGAAACAAAGGACATCATCTGGTGAATGTGAAACTGATGTTCTACTGTGTAAACCTTCACTCAATTCACAGTAAGTTTTAAAAAAAGAGAGAGAGAGAGAAATGAAGTCCTAATGCATGCTAAAACATTATACTGAGTACAATAAGTCAGTCATAAAAGGACAAATATTGTATAATCTCACTTATGAAATAAGCAAATATATAGATATTAAAGATTATTAATGATTATCAGTGGGATGGGAGGAAGGAAAGAGAGTTTTTGTTTGGGGAGCACTGATCATGAAGTATTTATCAATATCACTGAAATATACATGTAGAAATTGTTGGATTAAGAATGTTTTGTTGTGTTTATTTTCACCACACACACAAACTCAAACTTAAATAAAAACCTCTACAGATAGGTTTAGTGTAGAGAATTATCTAATGTCTCTTCTAGTCGTAATCTTTAATTCCCACCAAACAACGTTTTTGCCCTGCTGGTTCTGGGTAAGACAAGGTGGGAGAATGGGAGAAGATACAGGATGACATGATCCAACTGTGGATGTTAGCAGAGTCCATCGTAATTACAAAATCTTGAAACTAGCATGGGTTTAAAATGAGCCATCTCAGAAACAGGAGAGGGGACCTCACTACTATTAAAGAAGAAAAGACAGGAGTGGAGCGTGTCCTTTGGACCCTGAGATCCATGCACACTGAACCTCCGTGATGCAGGGACAGAAAGCTGTGACACCAGAGGAGTGGCAGAGAAGCAGCAGCAGCAGAATCAAGAGCCAGAGCACGAGACAGCAGTGGATTTCCCAGCAAGTAAAGTTTGTAGATTGGGATGCCTTCAGGTATCTCAAATTCAGGGAGGGGTAGGTTTGCTAAGCCACTGAGGTTGGGTTGAGTGCCTTTAGGCTGAGGGTTATGGTAGAGCAGTGTGCCCTGTGGGCATTATCAGCAGTTGACTGGAACAACTGTGCCCAGAGCATTACTGACCCTGAATTGTTACCTGTGAATTTCCCTCATAAGCTCCATTAACTGTGAGTATGGTGTCTGAGTTCTGTGTGGCCAGTGCAATGGATTACCTAACCCAGCTGAGTACAGACAGTTATGGGAGGAATGGTTGGTGCTTTGTATTTTTGCAGTAGGTAAAAGGAATTGTCAGCATATTTGCTAATTTTAGAACTACAAGTGACTAACAAGAGACTGAAGTGTTTGTTCATAGCAACAGAGAGATATATTGTGTGCATATGTCCATTTGAAACCATTTGACACAGAACTTCTGAGGTGTCCGGAGTATTGTTTCAGTGGTGGTCCTGAGAGCAACCAAAACATAAATTCCTTGAGGGTAAAAGAATGCCTTACTTACCATTCTTTCCCAACATATAGTACAGTGAACACTTATCAAATGCTTGCTACATGAAAGCATTTAGATTGTGGATGAATAATTGCTGTTAACTCTGCCTGTTAAGTATTCAGCTAGAAACACAACATAGAACCAAGTTTGTCTAAGCCATTCAACATTAACCACATATGGTAAATTAAAAAATTGGAACTGAGACGACTAGAAAAAGAACCAAGGAAGAATATCAGAAAATGTGACTGCCAAGATTTATTGGTATTAACAATAACAGGGAAAAGAGTGAAGAGCATCAACCTTCCTTTTCTTAATCCTGGCCCTAATCAATTATTGAAGATCCCACCATGAGGTCTGGGGTTTGTGGGAATGGAGACATTTTAATTGACAATAGTGGAAAAGACAAGTTTCTACGGTTCTGAATATAGGGGTTATATCTAAATTAAAATGAGAACAAATGAATTTCCTTAACTTTACCTGATTACATGTATCTTTCTGATTGCATTATTGTAATTCAATTGTACAATTACTATTTTTCTTTTTCACTTCCTATCTATTGTATTTTTCACTTCCTACCTATTCTAGAATGTAGTCAAATCTACATTCAATATAAATTCTGCCCACCTAGTTTTTCTTTTAAAGAGCACTGGTGGGTGCTGTAGTTTAAGTATTAGACTGGTAACACAAGGTTAGCAGTTCAAACTCACTCTGGAAAAAGGTGAGGCTTTCTGTTCCTGTGAAGATTTACAGCCTCGCAAACTCCATATAGGATTGCTATGAGTTGGAATCAACTCAATGACAGTGGGCATTTTTCTTTCAAACTTTCTATTATCTTCTGTCTAACTGGAACTCTGAATTAACTATTAAACAAAGCGTTAGATTTTTCTCTTCAACTTTTACATAAAAATCTTAAATTACAAGTCACTATACAATAAATACATGCATAAACATAGAAATGAAGACATCAATATAAATAAGAGTTAATAGGAATATGTTATTAATAAATAAGTTACACATGTGTTCAAGAACATACACATACCTTTTGACATAAATTCTGTGACAATATAAATCGGCTCTTCAGAAACAACAGCATACAGTGGCACAAGTTTATCATGTCTTAATTTTTTCATGATCTGAGCCTCTTGAAGAAAAGCTTCTGGCATCATTGTACCTGGTTTCAGTGTTTTGATTGCTACTTTCGTGGTTCCATTCCATGTACCTAGAAAAACAGCACATTGTATTAATTTCCTACATTTTAGGGAATTTCTGATCAAATTTCAATGAACAACAATTACCTTAAATATGTGAACATTTTATTTTATCAAAACTTGTGGCATTATGCTCTATCGCACAGAAACAAAAGAATAAAAGTTTAGGTTGCTTACCCATCCATACTTCACCAAAACATCCTTGTCCTAATTTAACTTCAAGTCGCAAAGATTCTCGAGGAATTTCCCAAGCATCCTTTGCTAGACCTTGAGTCTGAGGTTTCACAGTTGGACACACAGTTGTTAACTTATGGCATAAACCATCAGCATGTTCTAGATAAATGAAAAACACAACCGCATTTTATGAATAATTACTTACAAAAATTAAGATGTATATATTAATGTTTAAAAAAAAATTACATTGTAGCAAATAAAAGCAACAACAATGTACCATCAGTTTTACTCAAAAAGCACATACACAAAAAAAGATGTTCAATTTAAAAAGTGAAACATATGAAGATTAGGTAAAGATATAAAAGAACTTTATTAAGTTACTGCTTACTGAATATTCTAGCTACTGTGCCAATTCAGCACTTAACAAGTCAGTATCTCATATAAATGATGAGAAAATTTTTGTAACTTTTTTGAGCTCACAAATAACTAGAAGCAATGATGTTGATTTTAAAAGTCAGGTCTATCTACCTCAAAAGTTGTACTTTGGACAATCATGTTTTTTTCTTCCCAGAGAGAATGCTCCCGTCAACTGTCATTTCTAATAGCCACTGATATAAAAGACATACCAAAAATCAAGGAAAACATCCTTCATTTAGGAGATCCATTTTTAAATAAGGAGACATGAAGGCAGGGAACCCCAGATCTTTTACAAAGGCTTTACTTGTGAATCCTACTTTTATTTTCTTACTGTAAATGTGATACATTCCCTCCCATTCCCAGTAACTAATCACAAAAAATCATATTCTAATCAGGTGCTATTACAATGACGACACTGCTGGGTAACCCTTTTGATTAGTATCAAGATTAGAGTAACTTGATAGATTCAGTTTACAATTAGCTGCCAATGAAGAATAAATTATCAAAGACATTTCCCCTCCCCTAGTATTAATCATTTAAAGACTTTCAGATGCAGTTATGTATATCAAATAAGCAATGAAAATTTCTGACACCAAAGACTCATATACTGAATACCTATCAAAGTTCTTTGAAAGACTGAAGAAAGTCTATAGTTGCTACATGTTAATTTATCAGGAACAATACATCTTCAGATCACCAAATTTCATTGGATTTATACTTTAGGAATTCTTATGTGCTCCAGTCCGTACAGGGAAGGAAACGAAAAAGGACATGTAACATAGCTTTTTATGTTACATGTTTAGTTTTACATACTTAATGTTGTTGTTGTTAGGTGCCATCGAGTGTACCAACCCATAGCAACCTTATGCACAGCAGAACTAAACAACTGCCTGGTCCTGGGCTAACCTCACTACTGCTGCTACACTTGAGTTCATCGATGCTGCCACCTGGCCAATCCATCTCGTTGGGGGTCCTCCTCTTTTTCTCTGACCCTCCACCTTACCAAACATGATATCCTTCTCCAGTGACTGGTCCCTCCTGACAATATGTCCAAAGTATGAGAGACGAAGTTTGGCCAGCTTGGCCTCCAAGGAGCACTCTGGGTGCACTTCTTCCAAAACGGATCTATTGGTTCTTTTGGCTTACATACTTACTTAATTTGTTGTTGTTGTTAAGTGCCGTCGAGTCGGTTCCGACCCATAGCGACCCTGTACAGGGTTTCCGAGGGTGTAAATCTTTACGGGAGTAGAAAGCCTCATCTTTCTCCCGCGGAGCAGCTGGTAGTTTCGAACTGCTGACCTTAAGGTTTGCAGCCCGATTCGTAACCACTACGCTATCAGAACTCCATACTTAATAAGCATCCATAAATAAAACACTTGCTTTTATTTTCTTAAATTTATTTTTATAATCTATCTTGTTATTTATATATTATGAAATGGAACTACAATGTAAACACTATTCCAATAAGATATGAGGACTCAAAGATGGCAGACTAGGCAGACATACTGAACAGATACACTACAACAAAGATATGACAGACCAAATACAACTGACACAAATGAAAATTCTTGCACCTAAACTTCAGAAGAAAGAGTTGTGGCCAGCTCCCTCACTCATCCACTTCCAGCACAGGCCCTGCTCTCCAGGAGTTCAGAGCCACATGGTTGGATACCTGCCAGTGTGAGGTGGGGGGCTGGCTGCACCAATTTGTTGCTTGGATTCAGGTGGGCTCAGCTTCAAACCTACAAAACCCACAGAGCCACCAGACCAGCATCTAACAAGTCACCCTGCCTCCAGCTTTCTTGTGCTCCTAACAAGACAATGAAACTAGTTCCATCAAGGGTCCCCATAAACTACTTCCAGATTGAGTGCCCTGAAAAAAGTTAACGCTGAGTCCAACTAGGGCCAGCAACTCTTGTTGTAACATGCCTTCCAACTCCTGAACTTCTTAAACTGCAACAGATCACCAGAAATCTCTCCCCTCCAGGTCCAATAACTGCACTGTTTGTTTTTACAAATATGACAACCCCACAATCCCCCAGAGATAAAAGACAATTTTAGCTCACATAAAGTAATGAGAGAATGACTCAAACAAAATGACTAAGATGCAGAGACAGAAAACATTTCTGAAGAAAAAAAGTAATGGAACTAAGTGAAAAATAATTCAAAGAATGGTACCATCAATGGATTGATAGAAAGATCAAGGAACACAGAAAAAAGTTTGGAAGAATTCAGGAAAATGCTACATGAACAGATGACATAAATGCAAATTTAGAAACCACATAAAATCTGCAGTTACAAATCCAGAAGATTAATACTAAAATTTCAGAAACTGGACAAGACATCAAAAGGTCAAAGAAGATTTGAAGCAATGGAAGCCCGAATTGGAGAACTTGAAAATAAATCTCTTAATACTAATATGCTAGTACAATCAGAAAAAAGAATGAATAGCATTGGAAGAAAGCCTACACGTTATGTGGGACAGCATGAAGAGGAACAACATATGGGTAACTGAAATACCAGAAAAGGAAGAGAAAATAAAGAGCCAAGAGCAAACTGTCTAAGAGTTGTTGAACGAAAACTTCCCTAACATCATGGAAGAAAACAAGCATACAAGAAGCTGAACCCCAAAAAGGATAGATCCCAAAAGAAGATCATCAAGCCATGTCATAATCAAACTTTTCAAAATCAAAAACAAGGAAAATAATCCTGAGAGCAACTCAGGAAGACCGAAAACCGAATAGTTACCCACTAAGAACTAACAAGACTAAGCTCTGATTTTTCAGCAGAAATCATGCAGACCAAAAGACAATAGAATGACATATACAAAACTCTGAAAGGAAAATGCTGCCAACCAAGACTCATACCCAGCAAAGCTGTCCCTCAAATACGACAGTAAACTTAGGAAATTTCCTGATAAACAGAAATTAAAAGAATTTGTTAATGACCAGATCAACTTTGCAAAAACTGCTAAAGCATGTTCTTTGGACTGAGAACCAACAATAGCAGACAACAACCTGAGATTATCATATATAACACCACCTAGACCTCAATTCAGATATAGAAGTATTTAAAGCAAAACAAACCTACAAGACTAAAAACAGAGATCCAGAAATATAAATGTATGATGAAGTCAACTACAAAGCAAAAAAAGGGAATAGTGTACATACAGAACTTCCAAATGACAAGGAAGTCAAGTAGATTTCAAGATAAAACAGACTGTTTTAAGCAGGGAAAAAAATTAATAAATTACATTGTCACCTCAAAGCAAAGTAATATATCATGTCAAAATTTTTAAAAAGGGGAAAATCAGAAAGATTTATTAAGTATTCACATAACAGAAATGAAAATGAAAAGAAAACCCACAGACACAGTGAACTCAGCGATAAATATTATGTGGAACCAAGAATCGAGCAGCACCAAAAAAAAACATACAGAAAAATGAATGATAGCAATCAATTCACACTTATTGATAATTACACTGAATGTAAATGGATTAAATACACCAGCATGAGCCATAGAGAGCAGAATGGATAAGACACAGGAAGGAGAGCAAGAATTAAAGGGAACAGAGTTCAATACTGTTATAAACATAACCTTGCAACAACAGTGATCTATGGGTAGATACATGGACAGACACACAGACTCAATGGGTATGGGAGGGCTGTGGGAATACACTCACAAATATACAAAGGTTTGACAGAGGTTATTTATACGTGGGTATTTACATTTGCTGCAAACACATCTAGAAATGTGGGCAAAGGTATGAATGGAACAAAACTCAGAATTAAATAAGAAAGATTGAGCTTACTGGTCAGAAAGAGACCGGAAGAACCTGAGACTATGGCCCTTGGTCACCCTTCAGGTCTGTAAATGAAATTTCCCTCATGACTCAATTTTCAGTCAAGAGGTAGATAAGTATACCGGGAAGGGATGGGGGTGAATGGGGGGGTGGGAAACACTAGTAAGGTATGCTAAACATGGAATGGTCAACAATTCAAGATCAAAGGGGCACTATTTATCTAAGGACAAAGCTCAGAAGGGTTGGGAAAGAGGGTGGAATGAAAGTAAGCAGCATAGGGAGGAAGTACAATAACTGACATTACACAAAGGGGATTGCAGTCATTGAAATGAAACAAAGTAACAAAGTGTATGGTTTGTCTAATGAAAAACTGATGATCTGTTCTGTGAACCTTCACTGAATTCATAAAAATTATTTTTTAAAAAAATTTGAGGACTCAAATGATACTTCCATTTTAGAACTCCTATCCAGCTCACCAGATGCTCCTCGAAAGCCCTATACTATACAGGGTCACCAAGGGTTGGAACCGACTCGATGGCACTTCACAACAACAACATCAGGTAATAAGTCAAGTATGACTTGTTCCTTATTTTCCTTATACTTCTGACTAGAATCGATAGACATTTATTGAGCTTAGTACATGTAAAGGACTGTGCTAAACATTAAGAGATATGAAGACATGGATTCTGTCCTCACAACACAGAACATGAAGTAACTTTTACCTCAGAAACAGTCACCTACCTGTGTAGTGTCTCACCAGTTTCTGCAGAGTATCAAATTGTGCTCTAGTTGTGATATAGTATCCACCATTGTCAAGTTTCCTAATTTTGTAGTGTTTCACATTGTCTCCCCTTACCTCATCCCAATCACGAATAGAGAGGGAATAAGCACCTACAAGGAAAAATGAACACTTTTACTATATTTTTTCTTAAAATACTGCCCAAGGAAATTTTTATACTTATATCAATGTAATAATATTCATACCTTTAGTAGTTTCACTCTCTCTTACTAAGAAAATACCCCTTTGGTTCCCAGGATTGAGAAGTAATCTTTCAGCATCTTTTCTACCCATTTTGCCAAAATACCACCTGGAAAAATGAATAGCGTTTTTAGTTGGAAAGATGGTAAGAAACATTATATAACAAGTTTCAAAGAATTGAGTAGGCTTGGGAGGATAACAGAGTAGAGATAAAAATGCTAATGAAAATGTTATGGGACTGAGTTTAAAACATAACACAAATTTCAGGTTTTTATGTATTAAAAAATTAAAGGTCAGGATACACTCTGTTCAAGTGTTTCCACATATTTCCAACTCACAGTGACCCTGTATAGAGTTTCTGAGGAGTGGCTGGTGGGTCTAAACTGCCATCTTTGCAGTTAGCAGTCTGGTGCTTATACTATACCACCATATCAGGACTTCAAGAACAGTACACAGAACCCCCATATGCTCTTGTCCTAGGTTCCCCGATTGTTAACATTTTTACTTTATCATATTCTCTCTATATATGTATACATGCATGTATGTGTGTCTGTGTTTATCTTTCCTCTACCAATTCAGAGGAAGTTACAAGTGTGTTGAATCATTATCCCTAAATACTTCAGTGTGTACTTTCTAAAAGACAAGGGCATGCTCCTACATAACCATAGCATGACCACCTAAGTCAACACTGATAATAATATTAATAAACTGAAGGTAAATATTTGAAATGGAAAAATATGTAAAGCATAAAAAAGGTTAATATAATTAATCAAGGACAGAGATCAGATGGTACTATTACTAATGCAGATTCATGATTCTACTCTTAAGTGGATACTATTCATTTATTATTAATTTTTAAGTAACAGCTCCTATTAAGATGATACATTAGCTGTATTAAAATTAGTATGTAACTGTGTGTGTGTAAAGTGTGGCTAAGTACAATGCATTAAAATATTTTAAAAATCAAAATAATTAATAAAATATGAAGTCATGTCATACTCTTCTGCTTGAATAGAATCTGCAGGAGCTACATAATTGCTAGGGATATAGCCCTTCTTTCCTGTAGCAATTGATCTTGCTTCCCACCAGTCTCCTTCCCTGCAACACATAAAACAACAATTACCACAGGATAGACTACTTCCCAATCTGTAACATGTTACAATACAGTCTTGGTTCTGAAGTAAAAAAAAGGTGTTACTGTCATTTTCTTTTAATATACTAATTAAATCAAGAATTAAGAGTCAAAGAATGATAAAAAAAAAAAAGTTGCATAAGACTAAGCCAAGCATAATTGCAAATGACAACAAAAAATACACATTAACTTTAATTATAAGATCTGTTTTTTTATATAGTTATTTTAACCTAAAACAATAAACTATACCAAATAAAGCAATTTGGGAGTTAAATCTTTCCAATTACTCAATTTTGATTGAATGCTTCATTTTTTAGAGTTTTATTGATATAATATACACATCATAAAATTCACCCATTTAGTGACTTTTAGTATATTCAGAATTGTGTAACCATCCCCAATCAGTTTTATAACATTTTCACTGACCCAGAAAGAAACAAGGTATTGATTAGCAGTCACTTCCCATTCCTCCCCTCATTCCAACCACTAATCTACTTTCTTTCTCATGGGCATTTCATTTCAATAAAATCATACAAGATGTGGTCTTTTGTGACTGACTTTTCACTTAGTATCATTTCTTTAAGGTTCATATATGTTGTAGCATGCATAGGCACTTCCTTCTTTTTACTGACGAATACTTATCTTTTGAACAGTACATAAAATTGTAATCTTCTAAGTAATTTTAGTAAAATAATCAGGGTGCCTTAGAATTCCTATGGTCAAATATTAACAATGGGCAGTAATGCTAAAATGGAATTCCTGAAATAACGTATATTTACAAAAATGTCCACAAACATTCAAAAAAAAAGACTAAAATTAAATTACAAGTCAAGATACGAGAACTATCTTGTTGTCATTGTTATTAAGTGCTGTTGAGTTGTTTCTGACTCACAGCAACACTGTTTAGGGTTACTGAGGAAGAACTGGTGGGTTTGAACCATCGACCTTGCAGTTAGAAGTTCAGTGCTTATTTCACAACACCACAACAGGCCTGTATTGTGATTGATAATATATGTGTCCTAACTTTTCCAAAATTAATATGAAAGAGGAAAATATTATCAATCTCTAATAAGGAACAGGGACTCCTAATGCAGTGCTGTAGAATCAACACTGGACTGCAAATCACAGGTTCAACCCCTCCAGCTGCTCTTCAGAAACCCTATACAGGGTCACTATTGAATCGAAACCGACTCGACAGTACTTAATAACAACAACAATGTAGAGATATTTAGAATCAACTGTTGTTAAGTGCCGTTGAGTTGGTTCTAATGCATAGTGACCTTATATAGAGTTTCTAAGAAATGGCTGGTGGGTTTGAACTACTGACCTTGTGGTTAGCAGTACAGTGCTGGTCCTACAGCGCCTTTCAACTACTAAAGATAAATGCATGCTCTGCTTTACCAGAGATGAGATAAGCATTGAAAGCACGTTGTCTAAATTGAAATTTAATGACTAGTGGATTCAAACTGACAAGACTTTTGGTTAGCAGCCAAACCATTTAACCACTGCACCAACCAGGGCTCCTCTAATAAATGCTCGAGGTGACCTTGTTTCCTAAAAACTGAAATGGTAAATTCTATGGCAATTTAAATATTATAAACTCACTCCCTGGTTTTGTAGTCTCCTACTTTATATTGGCGTGGTGCTGGGGGTTAATGTGCCAGACTGCAAAGCCATTTGAACTGCAAGGTTGGTGGTTCAAGCTAAGCAACTGCTCCTCAGAAACCCTCTAAAGGGTCGCTATGGGTCAGAACCGACTCGATGGCACTTAACAACAACTATATACTGAGAATCCTTGTGTGGCACCATAGAATAAGCACGGGGCCTCAAAGTCGGTTTGAATCACGAGGTCAGCAGTTCAAACTCCCCACCTGCTCCTTAAAAAACCTATACAGGGCTGCTATGAGTAGAAACCAACTTGACAGCACTTTAACAACAATTGTATACTGGGAGTTCTCACTTGTAGGATGAGCGCTGGACTGCTAACCACAAGGTTGGCAGTTCAAACACACTAGTCACTCCTTGGAAACCCAATGCACGGTTGCTATGAATCAGAACCAACTTGACAACACTTAACAACATTATACACTAAGTACTTTAAGACATATAAACTGGATCTTTGCATTTGATCCTGCTAATCAATCACTGAAGAACCCTGGTGGCAACAATGGTTAAGTGATCGACTGATGACCAAACTCACAAGTCACTCCGTGGGAGCAAAGAGCGGCAATCTGCTGGCATTAAGATTACGGCCTGACAAAGCCTTTGGGGACAATCCTACTCTGTCATATAGGGTCTCTATGAATCATAACTGATTTGACAACTCCAACAACGAACTATAGATTCATTCAAATGCTTTTGGAATACCTATTAAAGTGACAGACTTATGATAGCAGGTGCTGGAAATAGAAAAAATGATAGTCCTTGACTTCAAGGATTGTCTAAGAGCAGGGTTTTTCAATCACAGCACTACTGATACCTTGGGCTGAATAGCTCTTTGTTGTAGGGATTGTTCCCTGTATTGTAAGATATTTACCAACAACCCTGACCTCTACCCACTAAATGGCAACAGCAGTCTCCTGATTGTGACAACTAAAAATATCTCCTGTCGTTGCCAAATGTTCTCTGGGTAATTTAGTCTAGTTGAGAATTACTGGTCTAAAAGAATGACAAGTCAAGTGACAAATTAAAAACTAAAAAATGTGATAAGAACTATGACTGGAGGTTTGCACAGGTGCTGCTATGTGACTATAAAAGAGAAGCACCCATCCAGCAAGGGCTGGAGGACAGCCCAGCAGAAGGTGAAGTCTTACTTGAAAGAAGATACACAAACTAGTTTTTGAAGGGTAAGTAAGGTTAACCAGATAAGGGAAAGAAGCAGAATCAGAGCCAAGAAGCCATATTCCAAGAACAAGAACGGGTATGTGTGAAGGTATGGAGATGGTGAGAAACCCCAGTGCAAGCATATCAGAATGACTGGGTAGCGGAGTGAGAAAGGAAAAGCAGCACATAGTAAATTCTCAGTGAATGACGGCTATTATTGTAGTTTCTGTTTATCTTGAAGACAACTGTTAGCTAGTGAAGAAATTTAAAGCAGAGACATGATCTTATGTTATGTTCCAGAACAATAACTAGTAGCAGATGGGAACAAAGATTGAAGAAAATGTGACTGGAAACAAAGAACCAAAAGATATACTGTTTCAGAAGTTACAAAATGATTTTTAAGCCGATCAATTAAGATTATGGAATCTATTTTCCATAACAAGCAACACATTTTCTATAGTAGGCCAATAAATGACAAAAAGTCCAAGAGTAACAGAAGAAAAAGCAACTTAATCTGGTCAGTTTTAGAGTACCTTACTCAGCTTTTTTCCTTTGTTTTTGTGGGAAGGGTTTAAACAGAAAATAAAGATATTTAGTCATGTGCTATTATTGTTAAGTGCCACTGAGTTGGTTCCGACTCACAGCGAACCTGTATAGGGTTTCTGAAGAGTGGTTGACAGGTTTGAACCATCTATCTTACAGTCAGCAGTCTAGTTAATTATCTGTACTCAGGTAAAAGAATCAAAACCCACTGCCATAGAGTCAATTCCAACTCATAGTGACCCTGTACAGGGTTTCAGAGACTATCAATTCTTTATGGTAGCAGACAGTCTCATCTTTCTTCCATGCAGTAGCTGGTGGGTTTGAATTGCTGATCTTGTGGCTAGCAGCTGAATGAGTGCTTACCCTACAGTGCCACATAAAATTATCTTCATAAAGATTTTTTATAAAAGTACTGTACTTAATTGCACATAATTCCTCAATAATCTCAATTCGTAAATCCCTACTGTTTATGGCACAGTCACAGCAGTACAATATGTAGAAGTAATAACTTCTGGTCATAGAAACAGTAGCATGCCACACAGCTAAGGAAACCATATGTGTCACCTAACCCAGTGAGCAAAAGCAATCAACCCACTCAGTGACTTCTGTGTAGAGACCAGGCTTTACCAGTATTTCTTCTTCACAAAATACTCTGAACACTTACGTATTGTTAATTATTTGAAATCTTTCACCCTTCTTAAATGAAAGGTCTTCCGTAGTTCTAGCTTCATAATCATATAAGGCCACAAATATAGTAACACCACCTATTGGAGAAAAAGAAATGACAAGGTAAATTATAAATACTAACAAAAAGTAAATAAAAAACAACAACAACAAAATGAAACAAAAAACCCTTAAGGGTCGTTTTCTTCTAAGTCTCCAAAATCTATTTTGTAGAAGTTTGGGGTTTGAGCAACTGATGTTTTCAAGTTTATAGAATATTCTTTAAAACATTCCATGAGACTACTTGTGCTCCACGAATTTTAAAATTCTATAAACCCACAGAAACATCCTTGGCTTGAAAACAGTAAAATTTCAAATCAATTCTTTGGCAGAAAACAACAACATCAAACCACTAAGGAGTAGTATAAACGATTGGCACTGACCTTTCTGATTTCTTATAAACAATGGGTGAATATTTTTGTTCATAAGACCAATTAATACTTAACTGCAATAATTCAATTTTAGTAAGATTAGTTATAACATGCTTATTGTTGGTTAGGTAACCATTGAGATGGTTCCAACTCCTAGTGACCCTATGCACAACAGAATGAAACATTGCCCTGTCCTGTGCCATGCTCACAATTGTTACGCTTGAGCCCATTGCTGCTGCCACTGTGCCAATCTATCTGGTTGGGGGGTGGGGGGTGGTGGTCTTCCTCTTTTGCGCTGACCTTCTACTTTACCAAGGATGAATCCTTCTCTAGGAACTGGTCCCTCCTGATAATATGCCCTAAGTATGAGAGACAAAGTCTCACCATCCTGGCTTCTGAGAAACATTCTGGCTGTACTTCTTGCAGCACGGATTTGTTTGTTCCTCTGACAGTCCATGGTATTTTTAAGATTCTTCTTCTACAACATAACTCAAATGCATCAATTATTCTATGGGCTTTCTTATTCATTGTCCAACTTTCACATTCATATAGATGAGGTACTGAAAATGCCAGGGCTTGGGTCAGGTACACCTTGTCCTCACACTGAATTCTTCGCTCTTGATCACTTTAAAGAGATCTTTTGCAGCAGATTTGCCTAATGCAATACCTCATTTGATTTCTTCACTGCTGCTTTCATGAGTGCTGATTATGGATCCAAGCAAAATTAAGTCTTTGACAACTTCAGTCTTTTCTCCATTTATCATAGTGTTATTTATTGGTCCAGTTAGGTGGATTTTTGTTTTCTTTATATGCTGCTTCTTTTTGTTGTTAAGTGCCGTCGAGTTGGTTCCGGCTCATAGCAACTCTGCATAGGGTTTCCAAGGAGCTTGAACCCAAGTTCAAACTGACCTTGTAGTCCTGCAAGTTAACCCACAACGCCACACCAGGGCTTGACAAAAGATAAAAATGACACATTTTTCTAAGAAATTACATACCATGGCTGAAATGTTATGTTCTTAAATGTTGTTGACTGGGTTCCAACTCATAGCAACCCCGGATAGGGTTTCTGAAGAGCTGTAGGTGGGTTTGAACCGCTGACCTTGCGGTTTGCAGTCCAGTCCTTATCCTACAGTGCCACATCAGAACTTTATGGCTGATATACAAACCATAAATATATCTTCCAAACAGAACTCTATGTCATATTTAGCATTATATACATATAGTTTAGAGATTAACACACTGAACAGCCAAATTATTATTTGTAAACAAAAGAAAAATAATAAGTTTTATACAATATGCATGGCACTTCAGTGTAAAAATTACTCAAGGCAGATTAAAAATCCCATAATGTATTGGGCATTCTTACTCTGAAAATGCATATATTCTACTCATTATAATTCCATTGAGTTGCTAAATCAATTCTTTGTTTTTAATATATCCACCAGTATGTTTTTTAAATGATAGAATAAAAGGCAGGTAAGTAAAATAAACTCATGAACTAATAAGTAAAAATGCTGTGAAATGAGAAAATAATATAAAACCTGACATCTTAAAATACAAAGTCACATAAAAATCAAAGATAGAAATGTAATCACATACATCATTAGCTCATTTATTTGGCCTCTCCTCTAAATTCCATAGCCATATACTTGAAAGTCTAATAAGCATTTAAAACTTATGAAGTACAAAAAATTTTCTCTTGTAACTTGTACTTAAGTATTCCCTACCTAAGCAAACTGCACGTACTACCATCCAATCAGTTGCTTAAGCCAAGTCCATTAGTAGGACTGTCTGTTTTACTTCTAAAACATCTTATTTATCTACTTTCCATTTCCATGCCACCACTTTAATCCAAAAGTCCTGTCATCAGTTGCTGTAACTACTGGGAGTATTGGCCTTCTAATCCCTAACAGTCTCCACACAGTTGCCAGGATTTTGTAAAAGGAAATTCAGTCATGCACATTCTGTGATTAAAACTCTTCAATAGCTTCTTTCTAGCTTTGAATAAAACTCAAACTTCTTACCAGAGTCTAAAAGGTCCCGAGTAATCCTGGACTTCTGCTAAACTCTAATCCCACACTATACAATTCTCCTTTCTGCTCACTATGGTCTACCCACTAGTCCTCAAAACGACCATGTCCACCTACCCCCCCGGAATTTTGCATGTATTTATTCCCTTTCTCTAGAATGCTCTTTTCCCAGCTCTGCACATGGGTAGACCATACTCATCAATCAAATCTGCTCAAATGATTTTTTTTTCTTTTTTCAAATGATTTTTTTCTTAAGTACCAGAGAAAGTTCTGGTCACCTAAAAGACCTCGGTCAATCATTCTGACTAGTTCTATCATAGCATTTAAGAATCATTAACCATCCAGTTTAGTTGGTTATTTGTTAACTGTTGCCAGACTCTCATTATTATGTAAACTCCATGAAGGCAGAAACCTTATTTGTCTTGTTTGTCCTCTCTATACCCGGCATATTGTTGGTGTTTACTGCTGATGAGAAGGTTCTGACCCATAGTGATCCTATATAGGGTTTCCAAGGAACAGCTGGTGAGTTGGAATTGCCGACCTTACGGTCGACTGCTTATCCTACAATGCCACACCTGGCACCTAAACATCCCATATATTTGTTGAAATAATAACGAACACCTGCAAATGGAGTGCTTTACATAAGTAAATTTAAGTATATCTGTGTCAACCTTAATTTTAACCATTTTGGATTACTATTTTTTCCCAAAAATATAATCCTGAAAATAACTGGAACTTTTGCTAATCACTGAAGAATATCATCATGGTCACTTTTCTGAGGTATTTGGAGTTAAACCACAAAAACAAACCCATAGCTTTACCATCAATTCCAACTCACAGCAACCCTACAGACAGAGCCGAACTTCTCCATAGGGCTCCCAAGGCTGTAATCTTTAGGGAAAAGAGCTCTGGTAGCATAGTGGTTATGAATCTGACTGTGAACCTCAAGCAGTTCGAAACTACCAGCTGTTCCATGGGAGAAAGATGAGGCTTTCTGCTTGCGTAAAGATTCACAGCCTCGGAACCCTGTACAGGGTTGCTATGAGTTGGAACTGACTCCACAGCACATAACTACCACCAATCTTTAGGGGAAGCAGACTGACGCATCTTTCTTCCACGGATCAGCTGGTGGATTGGAACTGCCAATCTTTCAGTTAGCAGCCAAACATTGAACTGCTTTACAGTGAGGGGATTATAAAGATCAAAGGGTTGATTTTATTCTTTACTCTTCTAACATAATCAGTGTCTGGCATTTCTCTGGCTACAGTTATTAGTGCAGGGGCGGGCAATCTAAAGGGATAATTTACTAGTCCATGCTTAGAAAAGAGATTACTCCTTTGTCCCCACTGGTTGTTAATAAGGACTCATAATGCTCAAGTTGATGGTGGTAGTGGTTTTGTTAAAAGATAAAGGGGACACTTCCAGGACTATAGGAGAGCAAAGGAAGGAACCCGAGTGTCTGCTGACATCACGGAGCTACTGCATCAAGAAATCCGTTTGCTCACCCCACATTGTTTAAGCTACTTGTGTTTAGTTTCTTGAAGGGAAAAGCATCCTGACAGGAGGCTCCTAACAAAAGAATGTGACTCTCTTGCTCTCTCTCTTTTTTAAAGGTTCTGAATCTACTTTTTTCATAATAGCATTTATCTCCAAGTAAGACTCACAGCTGTTCCTTCTTCCTGTTCTCTGAAACGATGTTATAAAATAATAAATGGAGTTTTGGACTAGGACATAAAATCTGGGCTCTCCTGTTCAGTATCTGTGACTCTGGGGGGAAATTCCTTTATATCCTCATTTTTTTTTTCTCTCTCTCTTTTTCAAATCAGTAGCATCTGATTGAAAAATTACATTATCATCATTACACTGACATTTAATGAACATTTATTAAGTAATTACAGGAGTCCTGGTGTGGCAATATCGGCTAATGCACTGGACGACAAGTTCAGTTTGAGCTACAAGGTAGCTGGTTCAAGCTCACCAGCTGCTCCTTGGAAATCCTATAGAGTTGCTGTGGGTTGGAACTGACTCAACGGCACTTAGCAATAACAATAACAAAGTAACTACTGTACTATTTAAATAGTGGATAACATTTTACAAACCTGAGAATTTGTAAGATTTTTAAGGGAATGGTACATGTTTTTAATGTTTATAACCCCAGTACCATTTTTAAGGGAATGGTACATGTTTTTAATGTTTATAACAGAAAAAAAAACCACATTTTTTTTGCTGTTGTTGAGTACTGCTAAGTCACACTATAGATGCTCAATAAACATTTGAATAATGAATCAGTGAAATAATGATATAACACAACACATAATCATCATCAGATTATCACCTAACTCCCCAGAATAGCAATGTACACAATAAGACTTTAATTTTTATGTTAGATTTCATATATAATTATTTTTAAAGTCCGCCAGAGTTAGTACTTTTTCTTAACGAGAGACAAATCTTATGTATGTATTGTTCAAGGTCAAATAATGGAACTGCGTATTTAGATCTCACCTGTTAAACTAGTAGGGTATGAACTTGGCACCACTGAGAATGAGGAAGATGTTCCTCCAAAAGGTGTCACACCTGAGGAGCCTCCAAAAGGTGTCATGGAAAGACTGCTAAAATTAACAGATGTCCCCTTTGCTGAAGACGATGGTGCCATAGAAGTGTGTTCTGTTCCATAGTGGCTGGCACTTGTACTGACAGGCTCTGTAGTGTTTTCAGTGCTGTATTTAATGACTGGACTTTTGTTCTCTTTACTTTTAACGCAGCCCATTATCAGATCTACAAAGGTGATAAGGTAAATATTTTGAGAAGCAGTTAAGATACAGGGTACTTAAAAAAAAATTCAGTTACAAAACAAACAAGCAAACAACAACAAAAAACTCAGTTCAAAAGTACACAAAGCAGTTTCCTCCACAAAAGCATCATTCATAAAATAAAACAAGCACACAAACAGAAAAGCTAGATGGCTATAAATGAAGTGTCTTCACTTTATATATACACACTTGAAAAACTGGCATTGAACTATCAATTCGTGGCCTGAAATTAAAGAATCAAACATGATTGCAAATAATGCCATTTCCTAAATTAAAAATCTCTCGTCCAGGTTAAATAAAGCAGGAAATTCTCCAAAGTAGCTCATTTTCATGTGTCTTTAAAAAAATGACCATTCTTGACAAGAAAATGTTTGCAGGAATGGACAGAACAAAATCTACTCCAACAGGGAAGCAGAGTGTAAGCGTGTGCCTCCAAGAGAGCAAGCATCCAATCCTAGATGAACCCACAGCACACAGACCTCTCACAGATGTATTGCCCACTTTCTTCTAAGCTTTACCTCATTACAGCAACGTCAAATGGAAAGAGATAAAAGAGCCTGGGACAGAGAAAGTTTATCAATTTTAGAGTCAAATTTGATATGGCTGGATCCCCTAAACAATCATGGTATGGTCGCTAATAATAGTGGGATATTATTAGAGGATTTACAAAGGAAGTAACAATATGCTCCCTTCCTTTAGCAGTGCGCTAGATTCTCCTGAGCAATAGCTCTTTAATGATATCCTGTTGTTGTCTGGCACACAGAGGAATAATCCTGCAAGAGGTAAACATCACTCTCCATCTAGGAAGGGCCAGGAACCAACATCAGCAAACAGAAGTGTCACAAAGGCTTGTCCTGGATGGAGTGGAGAGTTAGAATCATAAATGTCCAACCGACTAAGTTGCAATCTCCAGAAGCATATACTAATTAAGTCTTACAGCTAAAAAAAAACAAAAGAGCTATTTTTTTAAAAAAGCCTGAGTTTACAGACATGATATTCACCAACACAGTCATCCAGCTGAGAGTCTAGTAAGCAAAGACTGTGGCTCATGGTGATTTGTTCCCAGGAACATGCTCTGTCCAGAAGATGGTGCTGCCTGAGTAGAGTGAGTCAAAAAGTATTGCTACTAAGAGTCCAGTTCATACATGGATGGGTTTTATTCCAAACAAAATACATTTAAACATGTCTTTGTCATTAGAGTGGATGGCTGCAGATAAATTCTCTCATTAATAAATTTGTCTTAGTTTCATAGGGTGCCTTCAGAAAAAAAGTTCCAATCAGAACAGTGGTTTCTAAGGGGGTCTGCTGGCCCAGTTAAATTTAAGGCAGATTGGTCAGTTCAGGAAGTTATGGCAACTAGTTTGTTCAACAATCTAGTTGATAGATTTTCTCAAAGGATGCAAGATAATCACAAGGGCATATCATGAAGAAGTTTTCAGAAGTTTCAAACTGCATGGGTTAAAACAGGACAGGAAAGCTACAAAAAAATATTTTCCCTCTCCATTATCTCAATGCACCTGGCTCACTGTTTAAAGGTAGCCAGGACTGTCCTACTAGAGAATTTTATTGGGAAATCTTACTCTATTCAGAGTTCTTGCCCACTCAAGAGTTCTTTTTTTGTTCCCAAACTCTAAGAACATTGAAAAGGAACATGATTGAGGATGCCTTTGGACATGCTATAAATTGAAGAACTGAACTCTTCAGGGAAGCGTTAGAAAGATGGAAATACTATCTTCAGAAATGTATAGACCTGGACGAAGACATCAGCAAACAACAGCTTCACATTTGTTTATTTTTGCTAAATGTTTCCTTGAGTTTGTAGTAATACTTTTAAACTTATTCCTGTATTATCATTTCACCATGTAATCAATACAAACATTGTTAATGAGATATGATACATTCTTCTTTATTTTTGGTATTGAGTCTTAGAAATCCAGTGTGGGTTTTACTTACAACCTATCTCAAATTGGAGCAATACATTTTATGTGGTTACAGGCTCATAGCTATATGTGGCTAATGGCTTCCTTGCAGACAGCGTAGCTCATTATTTATTTATTTATTTTTAAATCAATAGGCAAGGGAGCAGTGGTAGTTCAGTGGTAAAACCCAGGTTGGATTCCTGGCTAATGTACCTCATGCACAACCACCTGTATGTCAGGGGAGGCCCATATGTTTCTGCAATGCTGAACAATGCTACAAGGTTTCAGCATAGCTACCACATAAGACAGACTACGAAGAAAGGCCTAATGATCTACCTCTGAAAAGTCAGCCAATGGAAAATCTTACAGACCAAAACAGTCCGATCCACAACTGATCATGGGGATGGCACATGGCCAGGTAGCACTTTGTTCCCCTATTCACTGTTGTTTAGTGCTATAGAGTCGGTTTGACTTATAGCAACCCTATATAGAATTTCCAAGGAGTGGCTGGTGGTTTGAACTGCCAACCTTGTAGTTCGCAGTCCAGTGCTTATCCTACAGTGCCACACTAGGAGTCCATTGTTGTTGTTAAATGCCATCGAGTTGGTTCTGACCCACAGTGACCCTATATAGGGTTTTCAAGGAGCAGCTGGTGAACTTGAACCGCAGGCCTCCTGGTTCTAGCGGACTTTGCAGTCCAGCTCATTAACCAACAGCACCACACCAGGATTCCATTAGCTGGAACCAATTCAAGTACAGCTAACAACATCAACAGACACACTTGTATACTAAGCACAAATCTCACCCTAGCATTTAAGGCCTCCCAAAATTTGGCCACAACCTATCTTTGTTCTCTATCTCCAATTTTCTCATATTTATGTTCTCAAAAAAACAACAACAAAAAACTCCTATTCTTCAAATACATATATGCTCAGAACTTTCTTATTTTTGTATTTTTCTCTCCTCGAATTGCTTTCATTTATAATACTTTCCCTACCTCTTTACCTGCTAAAATCCTATCTACTCATCACAAACATCACTTTTTCATTTAAGTCTTCCCTATAATTGGTAAATATATTTTATGTTAAAACCTCTAAAGTATTTTTTGGAAAATTTTCACCTTATTTCATTTGGTAGTTTTGTTTTTTGAGTCCTAGTGTGGTGCTGTTGTTTGTTACTCTGGCCTGCTGCGTCTTCTTGGTGGGGTTGTTGGTTTTTTCTGCTCATCTGCTGCTTGTTGGACCTCTTCTGGGTGGTTGTTGTTTGTTGGTGCTTTGTTGGCATTTTTTAACAACAATTCCTAAGGAGCCCTAGTGGCATAATGGGTTATGTGCTGGGCTGTTAATGGTATGATCAGCAGTTCGAATCTACCAGCCACTCCACAGGAGAAAAGTGAGGCTTTCTGCTCGCCCAAAACCTATATAGGGTTTCTGAGGCTTTAAATTTTCACAGGAGCAGAAAGCTTCTTCTTTGTCCCACAGAGTGGCTGGCAGACTCAAACCACAGACCCTGTGTCACAGTCTAGTGCTTATCATATGGAGCCATTGCACTCCCTAAATTAAATATACAATAGGCAGTTACTTCTGAAAGGATAAGAAGAAAATAAAGGCAAATTAGGAGTCCCGGTGTGGTGCTGTGGGATGATACACTCGACTGCGAGGTCGTTTTAAACTGCAAGGTCAGCAGTTCAAATTCACCAGCCCCCTCCTTGGAAACCCTACACAACAGGGACCTTATGAGTCAGAACCAACTGGACGGCACTTAACAACAATAAAGGTAACTTATTTCATAGTCATGGGTTGGAGGAAGTCTTTTCAAGCACGATGTAAAAGTAGAAGCATTAAAGAAAAGACTAACAGGTTTGACTAGATAACTTCCAAAGTGTTTTTGTCCTTTAACCTTCCAGGAGTCAGGTTATATGAAGTTACAGGTACGACAAATACAGAAAATATCTTTTAATTCATTAGTACTCTAACTTGTTCTCTCCACACAAACATAAATATGCACATATAAATATTGGTTGACGTTCTTAATATAGACAACTTTTACACATGGGAGGAAAAGTCCCAGACAAAAACAGGAAAACATTAAAATGCAATTTACACAAAAAATAAAAAAAGCGAATTGACATCTGAAAATTTGTTCAACCTTCCCAGTGTTCTAATAAATACAACCTTGTCCTCCAAGTATCATTTCAACATGTAGGTTAGAGTCCCTGGCAACCTCAGTTGTTGTTGTTATGTGCTGTGGAGTCGTTTCCGACTCACAGCGACCCTGTACAGGGTTTCCGAAGCTGTAAATCTTTACGGAAGCAGAAAGCCTCATCTTTCTCCCGCGGAGCAGCTGGTAGTTTCAAACTGCCGACCTTGAGGTTAGTAGCCTGATTCGTAACCACTACGCTACCAGAGCTCCTTGGCAACCTCAGTAGGGTTGTCTATTTACTGAGATACCATGGAGATTTTCTTATAACTGTAATGCTTCCATGCATCAATTTCTCACTATACTGTTGTACCAACAGTAAAATTCACCCTTATTGTAAGTGTACAGGCCCACACATTTTGACAAATGCATACGTTGTGTAACCATCTCAATGAAGACAAGAATAATTTAATCACTCCAAATATTCACTTTTGCCCTTTTGTAGTTAAGCTTTCAACCCCAGACAGTATTGATCTGTTCTCTGTTCTTACAGTTTTGTCTTTTCCAGGTACTGTATATAGACATTGGTTGCTTGGTGTCCATAATATATTCTGTGAAATAAAATATTATGTGATTTGGATGTCATATGAACAACCTGTTATGTACAGGTATGCCCTGGACTATGAAAGAGTTCCAATCCAAAGTCTGCCTTTAAGTTGAATTTCTACATAAGGCAAAACAGATAGTACACCTTAGACACCTTAGAAACTCAGATGTCTGCCATAGCATATGTTGTTGTTGCTAGTTGTCATAAAGTTGGTACCAACTCATAGAGAACAAAACACTGCCCGGTCCTGCACCATCCTCACAATCGTTGCCACACTTGAACCCATTGTTGC